GGGAGAGGGAGAAGCAGGCTTCCTGCCGAGCAGGGAGCCCGATGCGGGGCTCAATCCCAGGACCCCGGGATCATGACCTGAGCCGAAGGCAGACGCTTAACGACTGAGCCCCCAGGCGCCCCCCGACTTCCATTTCTTTTGGGTGAGTACCCAGAAGTGGAAGTGCTGGGGGATACGGCGATTCTGTTTGAGGACCCCCAGGCTGTCTGCTACACCGGCTGGCCATCTCGTGTTACCCCTGCCCGAGGGGGCCAGGCTACGGTTTCTCCTTCTCCCCCCGCGGTCTGAGGTGCAGCGCGGTCGGCACACACAGGACGCCCACAAACACCGGGCACTGCCACATCTTCCCCCCTGGCCACGACCACCCACGATTTAGGGTCAGATAGTGCTTGCACGAGACATGTCCGTCACCTCAGCCTGGACAAGAGCGCGCCTTTTGCTGCGAGCCCCGCACCGGGCAGGCAGCCGTCCTGCTGGACGCCAGCCGTGCATGGGCTCCCCAAGGCTCCTTGCAGACCTGGAGAGGGCATGTCCCCGCTTGCCCACAGGGAAACCGAGTCTGGGGCCCAGGTGCGGCGTGTCCAAGGCCGCGTGGTGATGGAGGGGAAATCAGTGAGCGCCCCCCGCCCCATGTCCTCCCACCACAGGCCTGCAGCAGGGCGTCCAACCTCCTCCCGCCGTGGCCGCAGAGGGAGCATGGGCAACCTTCCAGGTGGGCACGGAGACCATCTGCATGGCGATGCGCCAGGCCGTCCAGGTGTCCCCTGCTGCCCTCAGATCAAGCACCCCCACCCCCCAGGAGCCCCGCGGTCACCTCCGCCCCCATCCGCAGGGTGGGAGGGGACGACACAGCTGGAGGAAATCCGGGACCCACCAAGCGGGCAGCTGAGGGTCCGGGGCGGTGCTGGGGGGGCCTGTGACTGTGCGAATCCTCGGGGCATGAGGGCCAGTGGGGGGTACAGCACCTCCCAGACAGAGGTCGAAATCCCCAGCCCGTCTCATGGCCCCTTCCCAGCACCAGGCCCCCAGAACAAGCCACACGGCTCCTTCCAAAACATTTAATGACGTAAGCCGTGCGGGCAGCTGAGGCCACACGGAGGCCCACAGGCACCGAGGGGCTTGGAGGGGCTCTCGCCAGGACCCGGGCACGTGAGCTGGGTAAAGACCCTGGGGAGTCTCAGCCAAACCTGAAGCTGTCCCCTTCCCTCCAGACCTTCTGGACACCAAGCGGCGAGGACAGCCTGGGCCCAGCCCGCAGATGGGAACATGGAGACCCCAGCGCTCTGGCGCGCTCTGGGGTGGGGGACGGAGCGCCAAGCCCCCAGCCCTGTGCGGGCCGGCACCGTCAGGACCTGGCCAAGCCCCTTCCTGCTGTGACCCCTCCCCATCCTGGCCTTGAGGGCCGCTCCGTGGGGTGGGGGCTTATGGAGTGATGTCCCCAGTTAGCCAGCTGGGCCCCTCACCTGGCACGGATGGGGCAGCCCCCCTCATGCCCCACCTCAGCTGCAGTGCGGCTGGACCCCTGGCCAGGGCACAGAGCCCGAGGAAAGGGCCGTCCCTCCGCCCAAGAGCACAAACCCAGCATAGACTGCAGGTTCCAGCTGCAGCTCGCACAGCACCTGCTAAATCACATGGGTTTTCTGCACCATTAAGCCAGGCTGTTAGGGACAGCTTTCTGGAAGGTTCCAAGGATTGCTTTGGAGCCCACTGTCTGGGCCAGGCTCCAGGTGCTGGCAGGCTGCAGGTCGTGTCCCCAGGGCAGTAGGGACACCTGGCCTCCCTCAGACCCTTTGTGCCAACAGGAAACATCACTGAGCTGCGTGGGCACGCGTCCCTCTTGGAGGACCCCGGCCCAGGACTGGCCACCACCCGAGCTGGCTGCCCCGACCCAGCTTGGGGGGATGCTTGGGAGGCCATCAGAGGAACGGGACCGGACCACACTGCTCTCTCTGAACCACCTCCCACCCCCTCCCACCCCCTTTGACAGAGAGAGACACAGCGAGAGAGGGAACGCGGGTGCCAGCGGGCCGGAGGCGGATCTCCGCCCGGCCCCGCAGCTCGCTGTCCCGCCCCGCGGCGCCTCCCTCCCTGCGCGCCCCGGCGACCTGCGGCGGCCTCGCCCCTCCCGGCCCCCCGATGTCAGTAACCCACCAGGGAGGAGTGGGACCCACGCCCCAGGGCAGGAAACTGAGGCTCACATGACCACACCGTGCGGGGGCGGGGGTGGGGTGTGGCACCTGACCACTGCTCTTCCCAGCTCCTTGCCAGGTGAGTTATCTCCCCATTCTACGGATGAGAAAACCGAGGCTTAGCACCAGGAAGAGATTTTGTGTCAAATCGGTCCCCACACTCATCCCTGTTCCATTCCAGGACCCCCCATGCCCTCTCCAGCCTGAGAACATGGCCCATCGCTGGCAGGGAAACTGAGGCCCAGGAGGGGTCAGTTTGCCCCCGTGGTCACACAGCAGTACCGCCCACCTCCAGGTCTACCTCGGCCAACCCATCTGAGCGCGCTCTACCGTCGTGTGCACCCTGGGGAAACAGGTAGATACGTCTGATGGGAACCTGTAGGGCGGACCTCCTGCCTTCCCATTGCTGGCAGGTAACTTGGAGCAGAGAACTCCTCCTCACCCTTCAGGACCCAATGCCAAATGCCCCGGCTCTGAAAAACACTTCCTGCTTGTCCCCCAGAACTTCCTCCCCACCCTCCCCCTGCCTACATTATCACATGCTGTCAAATTTTTGTTGGTTCTTCTGCTTTCTTACTTAGTGGCCATCCTCCCCCACTCAACTGTGGGAGGGCAAGAGTGGGTCTGGCTTGTTAATGCTGTCTCCAATGCTTGCACACAGTAGGCACTCTATAATTGCTCGTTGCATGAGCTCAGACAAGGACACTGTCCACTGCTCCAGAAGCTTCTGCAGCTCCCTGCCATCTACCACCCCCCAAGCCTTCTCTCGTGTTCTCTGTGCCGTCTCGCCCCGGACGACCAGGGTTCTTCTTGTGGCCCTGGTATGCAGCACGTCTCAATGACCACTGGCTGAGCCAGGCCCAGCAGCGCCCTGCACGGACTTCCCTCCTCCCGTCCGCCCCAGAGGGGTGCAGCGGAGAAAACCAAGGCAGTTCCAAGATGCCTCGGGGCCCAGGGCAGCTGCTCTGGCACAGAACGTTCCAGGGCCAATGAGTGAACGTCCACGCGGTGGATTTGTCACACACACAACTGTCTCCTTTTGGAGCCAGCACCGGAGAGGCAGGGATAAAACTCCATCCGATGAATAAAAATGCCACCTGCCAGACAACAGCAGGGATCACAGTTTGGGGTGAGTCAGGGGAGCCGCATGGCTGGGTTCTGGCTGCCGAGGCCACAACGTCCAGCCACCTGGCCAGGCATCCCAGGATGGGGAGGGTCCCCAATTGCCAGCCCCTCCCCACCTGAGGCCACCGTCCTGCCAGGGGCCCCTCGCACCAGGGAGCCCGGCCACGTGCCCTGGTCCTGGCTGAGTCCTCAGGGACCACCCGGGTCTCATCCCACCCTGCGGTGACGTCCCTCTGACAGCAGGACTCCTCAGAATTGGGGACCCGTCTGGCTCGGGGACACTCAGGCGGCAGACATTGCTGTGTTGGTTCTGGGAGGCAGCTGAGCACCAGCCTCTTCTGCATCCCGTCCCCTCCACTGTCAGAGGCAGTGAAGAAGGACCTGGGTCATCTGTCTGTGTGGACAGGACTCCTCTGGGGACCTCCTGGGAGTGGGGTCCTGTGGGATGTGTCCTTCGGGGTCTGGCTCCTCTTGCTGAGCCCAGTGCCCCCGGGGTCCCTCCACGTCGTGGCAGGTGTCAGGGTCCCTTCCTTCCTGAGGCTGGAGCGTGTTCCCGCGTGGGGACGGACCACGCCGTGTGTATCCTTCATCCACGGACACTGGGTTTGCTTCCACCTTTTGGTGATTATAAATCCTGCTGCATGCACACGGGGGTGCAAATACCTTTTTGAACCCCGACTTCCATTTTTTTTTTTTTAAGATTTTATTTATTTGACAGAGACACAGCGAGAGAGGGAACACAAGCAGGGGGAGTGGGGGAGGGAGAAGCAGGCTTCCCGCCGAGCAGGGAGCCCGATGCGG